CAGCAGCTGAGCCCACAAAGAGGGGTGCTGGGGCTGCTGCTGTGACACTGTTGCAGGAAGGTACTGCTTGAAAGGGCTCGATGCAGCTTTCCAACACCATACAGCACTTCCTGGGGGAAAGGACAGTTGTCAGGTGTCATTTTGACCCATTTGAAGCTGTCCCACCTCCCTGCGACTGATGCCCACGTGGGGGACCTGGGGACAGCAGGCAAAGGGCCAGCAGCAGGGACAGACCCTCTTCCCAGCATGGCTCACTCTGGTGGGACCTCTGGAGGGAATGAGCCCAAGAGGGCTGGCAAGAACCTTCCATCCCCGAGGCATCCCACTGCCTGCCTTGGCACATCGGAGTGCCCCAGCCTGCTCCTTGACAGCATCTGGTCTTGCATCACCCCGCAGCTGTATGGTGCAAGCATACTCGTTTCCTGCTGCCAAAGGAAGTGGAGACCAGCAGTGGAGCTCGCAGGGTGCTCATAGATGTGCAGAGGGGTCTAGACATGTTGATGCTGCCTGAGGCCACCAGCTACCTGGGAGGGCTGCAGCCAGCAACCCATACTGGCTCCCACCCTGTAAAGTGTGCCCAGGCCACTGTCTGCGGTGTGTTCAAGGGCAGAGCCGGTCCCCAGTGCAGTGAGCAGCAGCAGTACCTGGCATATGGGGACACTGCACTGCACTCCTGGGACCAGAACATGTTCCAGATGACTCCATGGTGCTCACGGACACTCATGGCTTGGAGCCTGAATGGGAGTGCTGGTGGCAGCCCCATGGGAGGAGGCTGCCATTGCCCACTTCCTGGTGTTCCCCTTGGCAGCCCCCTTGCCCCCGCTGGACACCAGTGCCACGTTTGTCTCTGGGGCAGCCTGGCAGGGACAGTGACTTGTCTCCTGGGGATGTAGCACAGCCCAGCACGGGGTTCCAGCTCTGAGCCAGCCCCCCAGGCTCTCAGCCTGGAGCTGGCTAGAGAGTGAGGTGAGGAGGGGAGCACAGCAGCACAAAACATAGGACCTGCTCTCTAGAAGTTTTCTCTTTCTTATGGGGCACAATTGTCCTTCTTCTGCAGTCAAAACGAGATGATTTGGCATGCCTGGAAATACCCTCTGTTTGTAGAAATCCCCTCCCACTGCTCCTGGCCAGGCCCTTGCAGACCTGCCGTGGCTCTGCCTCGGGTGCAGGCAGGCATGCCAAGCCCTTCACCTGTAGCACCCTGGCCAATGCATCCTGCTTTTTCCATGCCAGTGGATGTCCAGTGCTTTCTGGCTGCCACAGCAGCTGCTGCTGCTGCCTGGCCAACCCCCTGACCCCCCCATTTTGGGCTGCCATGGGGTGCTGAACATGCTGAGCTGTGTGGGAGGTGGTACCGCATCTGGACTGGCTCTTACCTGAGGTCTCCATATCATCCAGGCTGGGCTGCAGGGGTGCCAAGTCCAGCTGTATCACGTCAGCGTTCCCAGCATATGCTGGAAGAGGGCAGAGCTGCATCAGGCACTGCATGCCCAAGACCCCCCCTTTCAGGGCTCCTCCCAGCACTGCCCTCACACCTGCCTGGCTGCCACCCCTCTGTGGCACCCCAGAGTCACCCTGTGTCACTGCATCCTGCCCTGCAGCCATGAATGGGCGGGGAGATGGGTGCCCACCCTGTGGGGACCCAGGACCATCCTGTCGCCACCATCCTTCCCACCAGCACCTCTGGGACCTCATTTAGTGCCCCAGAACTCCAGGGAAAGGCTGATCCTTGGCACAGCACCTGCCTGGTGCTGCAGGAGCTCCAGGGGTCTGGCCAGGCAGGGACAGCAGAGTGGCCATGGACTGGCAGCCCTGTCCTAGGGTCTGATGCACGGTCCTTCATGGGACCCTGATGTCTGGGCAGCTCAGCCCATTCCCACCTGTGACAGCCCAGGCTGGTCTCTAGGGAGACACTGGAGAAGGGGATGCTACCACCCTGCCCAAATGGAGTGAGACCTCCTCCACATCCTGCAAGAACATGGTACCTACCATCCTCAGGGAATGCCTGGTGGGCACTGGGCATCTGTGTCATGGTGAAGAGGGTGTCAGAGATGTCTGAGAGGAAGGTGTCCAAGTCAAAGTGCTGCCTACCCCCTGGCTCCTCTTCCTCATCCCCAAGCAGCATGGGCACCACATTGCAGAAGAGCTGGTTGCACCATTTCTCTGTTGGCCTCCAGACATCCTCAGTCTGCAAGAGACGCAACAAAGGAGCCAGGTGGGCACCTCTCATGGGTAGGGTCCATGCCTGGCTCCCCATCTGCTCCCCTTGCAGTTCCCATGCTCCCCACAGCATTTATCACTCCAAAGCTTCACACTTGGCACATTGGTGCCTCCAGAAAGGGTGAATTTGGCATCCCAAGTGCTTGGCATCCCATTCCATTGGGCTTGTCACACCCTGGGGCTTTCATCTGCCCTTCTCCCAAGCTGCCCAGTGTAGGGGTCTGCACTGCACCCCCTTCTCTCCTCCTCCCTACCTGGCTCCAGTGGACTCACCCGCTTTGGGCTGGAGAGCTCTCCCTCCTGGGTGGACTTTCGGAGCTGGAAGGAGAAGACAGTCTGTGTCATGTCCCAGCAAGGGCAGGCACAGTGTGGGGCAGAGCCAGGGGCAGTGCAGAGGGACAAGGTGTCAGGAGGGGGCTCCCTGGGGGGTTCAGCACAGCTGCCACAAATTCACATCTGCCTTTAGAGGGTCTGGGCTGAGCCACCGCAGTGGTGGGACGGCTGGTGTGTGGCAGCTTGAGGCTGCCAGCACCCTGCCCACCCATCCGCGGCACCCCTGGCCTTTCTCAGGACCAAGTGAGTGGCTGGGGAGGAGGCTGGACCATGCTCCACCCTGCATTGCAGGGGACCAAGGCTGTGGTGCCAGCATACCCGAGAGCAGGCACCTGGAGTGATGCAGAGCCACCCAGCCTGCCTGGCAGCCTGTGCTGTTGGGGTGAGACATGGCTGCCAGCTTCATGCCAGCAAATCCCACCCAGCTGGAGTGCTGTGGGTGCGCTGCCAAACCCAGCCCTGGCTCGTGCACTGGGCAGGGCACAGTCAGCCCAGGTCAGGCTGCCAGAGCACACTGCAGCACTGCGGGCAGCTGGGGTACCCACTGAGCCCCCTTCCATTGGCACCACAAGGGACAGCCAGCATCTCCTTCCCACACTGGCAAGAGCCTGCCATGTCCCACACCTGGTCAGCCACTACTCCACGCTGGGCATACTGATGTCCCATCCCACCGATGCTGCTGCCATGGGACAGGGAATAGCGCAGGCAGAGCCACTCACCCGCTTCTTGTAGTAGATCCTCCACTTGTGGTACTCCCTCATCACTACCTTGATGCGGCGTTTCCAGTAGTTGCCCTCCAGCACGACAGCCTGGGTGGGCAGGACAGGAGGTCACAGCTGAGCCCCCCAGCCCCAACACCCTGTAGCCAGGGCTGGTTTCCTTGTGCCATATCAGAAACAACTTTCCCAGCAAATCTATGAAATGCAACAAGCTCTGCCCCCTGTGTGTCCCCTGCCCCCACCTCTGCCACACAGACTTTCTCACAGCCCAGAGAGCTGTGAGGGACCATGCCCTACCTCTGGTTTTCGGTGCTCCTCAGCCTCCAACCCCTCCAGTGGGGTGATAAAGCCACACACAGGGTTCTTCCTCTGCTCCACATCTGCACAGGGAAAACGCAGCTGGCTTTACGCATGGCTCCATCCCTAGGCAGGGGAGGGTGCCCATCCCACTTGGCATCACCCAGCACTAGGCAGATGGAATAGGGTCTGGCTCTGTACTCACACTGGATGTACCACGCTCTCCAGATAGCATTGTTGAGACGGATTTTATCCCGGCAGAGCAGCCGCAGCCCCTTGAAATTCTTCCATTTTGGAGACACCAGCTTCTCACTAAAACACCAAGGAAGGGAGTGGCTGAGGGGCACCATTCCAGAGCCCTCCCAGTTCAAGGTCTACCAAGGGGGCTGTGCCTTGAGAGATGCCTGGGGCCACCAGCCTGGTGACAAGTCTGAAACAGGCGCAGCCATGGGGCTCTGCTGCACGCTGCTTGCCTGGCACCCATGGGAGCACCTAAGTGAGCACCTTGAGCTCCTGTTCACCCTGAGAGCAGCACAGACCTAAAGTGGGAGCTTCACAGACCCTCACCCAGTTTCTCGAGCCCCTGGGATTAGAGCACAGCACATGGAGGAATCAATTCACTGAAGCTTGGGCACTGGGTCCTGCTGCACCTGACCAGGACTGCAGCATCCCAGTCCCAGGCCGCAGGAAAGGAAGTCTCCTGCCCAGTCAGGATGCCTGGAGACACATGTTGCTGTGGGTCTTGTCTCACCACAGGATTTGGGCAGCTATTTCTGACCCTCCTTTTAAAACCAGGCAAGGCTTGGAAATACTGTATTCAGTTGAGGGCAAGCTCTGCATGGAGCTGGGGAAGGCAGGAAACCAAGCTGGAGGGAGTTAAAGACACTAAGGAGCACTTCCCTGTGCTCCAAGAGGGGCAGAGAGTGGGACCAGCCCTGCCTGCAGCCCAGTACTACCCGCTCCATATCAATCCCTGCCCCTCGCCCTGGACCCCAGCCCGAGCTGGGCTTCCAACTGAAGGATACGACCCTCTCGTGTGCAACCACCAGTAGGGGTCCTGAGGGTCCTGCTGCTGCAGGAGTTGCATAGAGGAGGCTGGGTTCTCTCTGCCTTACTGTGGTGTTCTTTTCACCTCTCCCTGTGAGCCCAGCAGCTGCCCCAGGTCTCCCACCCACCAGAGCATGGCCTCAGGGCAATGCTGGCTGTACAGAGGGGCCCTTTGAGAGCAGGCTGGGAGCTACACCGCATCCCTCTCTGGAAAGCCCACGTCCTTTCCCAGCCAAGAATTCTCCCTTAAAGATCTCAGTGCTGCTTTGGGTTCCACTTATCCTCAGCACGTGCAGGGAGGAAGAAAGGTAGAGGCTGGGCTGGGTGTAGGGGTGCTGTATCTCCCCATTGCCAGCCTCTACTGGAGTGCACCCCAAGATGCCTTCGGGCCATGTCCCTGGGAGGTGCTGGGGCAGTGCCTGGCTCATGCTTTAAGAAGCCTCACATTTGTTCCTTCGAGGTTATGAATCCTTTGTGCTCCCTTGAACAAAGACTCAGGCCGATTATGCATTAACCTGCCTTGAAATCTTCCTCCTCCTGCACAGCACGGCGTGGCACGGCAAGTGGGGCTCCCTGCCTCAGCAGCTGTGCCAGCTCGGCTCGGAGCTCCGTGCAGCCCAGCAGACAAGGAGGCTTGTTGCAGACAGGGTGCTGTTCTTGATGTTGGAGCCAGGCAGCCCAAACAGGCAGCAGTGCAGACAGCAAGACACCTGTGATGGTCCTGCATGGCTCTGTGGCCAGAGGGAGTGTGTCAGGGAGGAGGGGAGAGCACCACTGTCCCATCTCACTGTGAGCAGCAAGGACTGCGGACCTCTCCATCTGATGCAGGGATGTGTCTGGGAGTGGGGGCTCCCACCCTCAGGGGTGGACAGGGACGGTCGCCACAGGGAGATCTGGCCTGACCCACATACCCAGGGTCTGGGGAAGGACTCATGTCCATGTGGCTTCAGCCTGCAGAGAGTAAAGGACTTGGCTATGCTCTGGCCACTCTGCTGTCACCAGGATTTTGGACTTTCCCCAGTGGCACAAGGCAAACAGCACAGTGGTGCCAAGCAGAGGAGCCAATGGAAGGGATGGGTTTCCTGGGCATGTGGCCAGATCCTGCTGGTCAAGGCTACCAGGCCATCGTCCTCACCAATGCCACCTGCCCTGACAGCCAGCTTAAAGGAGCAGCCCGAGTCTGTCGACTGCAGCCCTGCAGCCACAGACAGGCACCTCAGCCATATACGAGACTGGTGGGGCCATGGCCATGAAGCTGACATGGACCTGGAGGCAGAGGGGAGATGCCTTTGGGAGTCACCACTAACCACCTTTTTTCCCCATTAATGATCCTTTCAGCTTTGGGGCTTATCAGGCTGATCAGGCTGATCTTTGCTCCCTGGTTTGCCTTGAAAATGTCCCCATCCTTCCCTGAAATTAACTCCCAGGGGAGAGGGATGCAAACCCCACACTGAGCCACAACAAAGGTTTGGGATGTCCCAAACAGGCTGGAGGTCCCACTGCCTCACGCTGCTGGACAAACGGGGATGTCGATCCCACCACCAGCTAAGGGGTTTCTGTGAAGTGTGATGGGATGAGGTGAGAGCAGGGCTCAGCCTGGGACCAAACCTGGCATGGGACAGTACCAACCCTGTTTTGGCCAGGCACACCTTGTTTGCACTGTGATTCATTTAGCTTGTCCAGAAGTTTAGGGTGTCCTAGCCCCTGCTCTCATGGCAAAATGAATATTTTGCTGTCCATCAACAGCAAGGGGCAGAGAGGGGGAATGATCTGGCAAGATGCAGGGCTGCACGAAGAGAAACGGGCGTCAGCAGGAGCTGAGGGTTTTCTGGCAGGTACAATGTCAGCAGGAGAGGAACAGCTAAGCTGAGGGTTTTCTGGCAGGTACAACCCTGCTTGGCCTCTCCAAATGCAGATGGAGCAGGATCCCCCATGGCACCGTCAGTCCCCCCCCAATCCCTGGGCTGACAGGTCACAGCTTGACCCTGGACTGGCTAAGAGAGGACAGCCTTTCCTGGGAGTCCTAAAAGCTCACATTCGATTTCTCACAAATTTTGCTACCAAAGCCACGTTTGGGATAGGCATATATATGCAGAGCAGGCATAGGGACCTGCTCCGTGTTTACTCCCAGATAGGAGTGCATTACAGCTCTGCCTCTTGGGCAGCCGTTCACCTCTGTGCAAAGGGAGCATGAAGCGCTCCAGCTGAGAAGGGCAGTAATTTAAATCTTCTTGCAAATAGTTGTCTGGGAAGCTGGACAGCTGTGAGACAAGCTAGGGACATCTCCACAGCCAGTTACTTTGGTGACCTCTGAAGGTATGACCTACTGTGCATCAGCGTGGGAACAGGCTTGCACACCATCCCAGCTCCTCCTCATGCTGCTCAGACAGGATCAGCCCCAAATCCTTGGGAAATGACACAGAAAAAGCATGCAGCTCTCTGCTGCTAATGACAGCACAACACACTGCAGGGTGAGTAGGTTTAGCCTGAGCACGAGGCTTTCCCCCTTGCCAGACCATTTCCCATCGTCCAGATAATTCATAGCAGAAACTGCCCAACCCGCCAGAAAGCCCCAGATGGCATCTGCCAAACCCGGGCTGCCATCTGCAGCCAGCTCTGCTCCCCGGGCTGCAGCACCCTCCTTCCTTCCAGGCAGGGTCCTTATGTCTGGAGGAGGCAGAAGGCCCAGTGAGTGGTGGGGGCGGACCCAGCAATCGCAGGATGTCAGTGCAAGCCACTTCCAGGTCTGAGCTAGTGCCAGGGGCTGCGGGCAAATACTGGTGAGCTGTAGGGAACCAAGGCAAGTGATTTTCCAGGAGGGCAAAGGAAAGCGCAGGCTAATCCTGAGCAAAGGAAATGGGGAGAGGGCAGCTCCATGTGTGCATCACTGGGGTCTCTGCCTGGGTGCTTGCTGCCCCGTGCGTGAGGATTTAAGGCACTGTGAATCAGAGAATGAATGAGGGAGTGTAGCAAAGCTATAGCAGCAATTTCACTTGTGAGAAAGCCTCAGAGGCTCAGAGGAAGTGATTCCAGCAACGCAGCAGGTTGCAGGAGAAGAAGGAACGGAACAGAATCATTAAGTCTCTGGCAGTAATGCTGCTGGAAGGAGAGCAGCTTGCAGAAAATGGGTACAAAGGACCTGGGAACTGCTTCATTCCAACCTCCAGCACCAGGAGGAAGACCTTGCTGAGAGGAGTTGCCTCCCTTTGAGGGGTCTGAAGAAACAAGTTACTGCTAGACGCAAGCCTTGATGTAGAAAGCGTGTTTCTTTCCCAGCAATGGGGTGATGCTCAGTCCAGCCCATGGGGGATAAAACGGCAGATCCTAAGGGAGATGACGCAAGCTGAGACAGGACTGCTATAAACGTCTGTGAGGTGCTGTGGAGGAATGCTGGAGAGCAAAGGAATTACAGCTAACTAACTGACTGTTAGCTACAGCCTTTGAAAAACAAATGTTTAGAGAGAATTTCGTGTATTCGCCTTGGAAATGGTGTGAGCCAGGCCTCGGACAGCAAGGAATGGGTGGCTGAAGCAGCAACACTCAGCCAGCAGGACAAGAGGAGTAATAGTTCCCCTCAGCTCAGCACTGGTAAGGCCAAGGATGGATATTTTATCCATATTTCACCCCCATAAAAAAGGGAGGTTCTCAAAGTGGAGTGATTCTGGAGGATGTTAAGATGGCTGGGGACTAATGTACGTGACAGAAGAGGAGTGTGAATGAGGGGTTGAAGCCTCATTCACAGGTTCAGCCTGAAGAAGAGAAGGTGAAGAAAGGCTTTACGTACTGTCTTCAACTGTCTGAAGGAGGCTATAGAGGAGAAGGGGCCAGGCACATCTCAGGCTCGCACCAAGAAAGGACAAGAGACAACAGACACAAGCGGAAATGAGGACAACTCCAATCAGAACCGTGGGCAGCATTGTTCCCAGTGAGAGTGGGGCAGGGTAAACGGGTGGTGGGCTCCCCACCCTTGGTCTTCATCCATCGGAGTGATGGCCCTGAACAACCTGATTTGGCTTTGGAGTTAGCCCTGTCCTGCACAGGGGGTGGACTATGATCTCCGGAGGTGCCTCCCAACTCGTACCTTTCTGTGGTTTCTGCTTTGTTAGGGTGTCAGTCTACAACATAACTGCGGATGCGCTCCTGATGACTGGAGGACATTTGGCTGGCCACTCCAACTGAGGCTGTGCTGCACCAAGAACCCTTTTGAGGAACCTGGCAGGGAGGGAAGGTGTGAAATGGCAGGTGGTGCAGAGAAGTGTCAAATCAGGTAACATTAAAAGTAGAGGTGCACCAAGTATTTTATAACTCAATTTCCCCCTCTGAATACCTTCCTCCAACTACTGCTTACAGGTTTGTCCAAAATGTATTGGAAAAGCTGCTATGGATTTCCAAAGGGAGAAAAGAAATGCCCGAACAGCAGCCAACCAGCAGAGTGGTCAGCTCTAGAGCCAGAGTCCAATCCTACCTATGGAGAGGAATACCCAGCGCTGCATCATGGGTCCAGGTTCACCTGAACCTGACCTCTGATCAATTCTTTTCATCCTGTTTTCAGGGTGCTGGCAAGCTGCAGAGTGTGACAGTTGAGAGGTGGAAAAGGAGAGCATCTGAGGAAGGAAGGAACTCCAAGAGAGAACCAAGCATGAACTTTGGAGAACATCCAATGTCAACATTTCCCTGGTTGAATCCCATGGCCTGCAGCTATCCTGGCTCCACAACAGACAATGAACTGCTCCTATGGGTGCTGAGCAAGACCTAGTCTTCCAGCAAGGCAGCCAGGAGACATCTCTAGTGCTCTGGACTCTGGGGTTGATGGCACTAATGCTTTGTAGTGGATGTGGAGCCTCCTCACTAAGGGCTACTGTCCAACTGCAGTTACAGTTTGCCATGGTGCCAGGCTTGGGGCTGGTGTGTGCATTGCCTTGCTCAGTGCAGGAGGGAAACAAGGCCTTGGAAGAGTCCAAGGGCAAGACAGAACTGGAGCCCTGTCTGCAGCCTAATGGCCAGCCTTGGGTGGCATACAGCTGCTGTGGTCTGCCTCACCTGCCAAAGCACTTGCACCCTGCCCCTTTCCCCTCTGCCTGGGAGCACCAGAGCTCAAGGGCACACAGAGGCTGTGGTGCATCTCAGGAGCCAAGAGCTTGAGCATCCTAGGGTGGAGTAGTAGGGCTGCTCTTCCAGCCCCAAGCTGCAAGGCTCAGAGTAAGGCAAGTATGGGTCTGGGAAAGCAAAAGAGAGTGAGGCCACCAGTGCCCCCTGTGTGTGGCACTCAGGTGTGACTTGCATGACTAGAGAGCATGACCCTCACTCAGCTGGCTCACCCCACACCATGCTCCACAGAGTGCCAGCCTCACCAGCATTTTGGAGAAGAGCTCTGCCTCACCAGCTGTGAGCAAACCATGCAACTTGGGATGTGGTGATGGGCCAAATGTACACACAGCTGGGTGGGAACTGGTACCCTTGGAGTGCTTTCCCAGTGCCTGGCATCACCGGGGCTGCTCTGGCAGCGACCACATATTCCACTGGGTCAAACACTGAAGGGCTTCAAGGCATACCTGACAGGTCAGCAACTAAATGAGATCGTGTGGGGAACAAGGCAACGGGCAACAAGGCTATTTTGCTGAGGTTTTGTTTAAGTGGCATCAGTAGGACACAGTCATTCCAGGTTTTCACCTGGACATTTTGGGAAAGCTGTGCAAGCAGTTTTGCACTGACTGCAGTAGACCAAGTCACCCCGCTCACTTGTGGTTGGGGGAACAATGGACTCACCCATCTCATTTTGCAGCAGAGAAGGGGGGAAGCTTTCAGAAAGCCCTGAGGAAAGCCTCATGCAGCCATCCAGACCCAAAGTGCTGCCATGTGTCCTGGAATAACCTCGGGACATGTAGGCAGAGTCAAGGATGGGAAGGCAGGACTCGTGCTTTGGGCCGGATTGCCAAAGACTGATCACTGGCTACCCACAGGGTTACTGCTGCTCTAGAGTATGCAGAACCTAACTGGGAGGGTGCTACAGCCAGGTGCAGTGGCTCCAGATCTCATGGAAGGAGGGTTAAGCTACACATGAAGAGAAGGGGAAATTCTCATCTGACTCCATGGCCAACAACCCAGCACCAGCTCTTCCACCCTGAAACCTCCCAGGATGGTGGGTTTTGGGCAAATTGCACATCACAACCCAGTGGACAAGAAGACGAGGGCGCTGTCAGTTGGCAATTAGCAGCAGGTTCCCAGAGGGGCGGTAGGGCTCAGACAGCCTCATGCCTTCAAAGAGCTGGGGGGGGGATCCATGATACGCATGCCCATGAGAGGCATCTTGGACTCACCTGTACTCCAGGCTCATGCACTCGAAGAGCCAGGTGAGGGTCAGGTCGATGCTCCGGGGATCAGCCAGTTTGGGCTCGGTGCGGTGGTGTCGCCGGCGGGGCAACAAGTCGCTGTGCGGGGACGACACCATGAAGTGGCCACTGTGGATGACCTGGGAGGGGTTCTGCACCCTGGCACCGGGTCCTGTGCCGCCCATGGATGCATCCTCGGAGTCCGAATCAGAATCAGAGACAGGGCATGGTCCAACTGGGGGCTCTGGGAATGGTCCTGGGAGCCCCACCTGAGGTCCTGCCATTGCCCAGCACGTGCTGGGGAGCCCTTATTGGTGTTTCCCAGCACTGCGGTCCATGTCCTGGCTGTGATGGAGCCCTATGGGCACTGTCTTGGCATTAAGCACATGCTGTTGGGCTCCCCAGCACAGGACACTCACACCACACCTCCTCCTCGTCACCGTTCACCCCACTCTGGCCCACGACGTCTCTGCCGCACTCTGAGGTTCAGCTTTTGGTGTGCTGGGGCCACTCGCCGTCAGTCAGCTCTATTTATAGTAGCAGTGGCTGATCCTGCCCCTGGCACACCATCAGCCAGGCCACCGCACCCGGACACCGCTGCGGGAGCCCCAGCACCTTGCCACTGTCCTGCTCCTGCAACGTGCCCGATGGCCCTGGCTTTTATTGCCCCTGCAAACCTGAGGAGGAGCAGCTGCGGGTCCCCTGTCCCACCCCCTTACCGGTGGCCACGGGTTCGCTGGCAGTCGGCTTTGTTTACCTGGGGTTAATCTCGGAGCGGGCAGTATTTACCTAGTGCTGCTGCCCTAATGTATCTCCCTGCACTAACAGGGGAACAAATACAGATTAAGGGACACAAACAGGTAAAATGATAGCAACGGGCACCCAGCTCGGCACAAAGCATGCTGAGTCACTGAACCGTGTGCCAAGCTGCAAAACAGCCTGGGCAAAAGCCTGCTCTGAGGTGTGATCCAGCAGGACGGGGTGCAAATGCTGAACGCAAGACACAACCACAATGAGCTCAGGTGTGGTGAGATTTACACCGCTTGTAGTCATGCAGTCCTTAAAATGGATTACCTTTGCCTCCAAGGGGTCCTGAGGGATGCTGCCAGGCAGGGCTTGCTGTGCCAGCCCCCTCCCCAGCCCTGTGCCAGCTGATCTTTGGTAAATACTGAGAGCTGTTGTCAGGGCTTAGCGTGTGCCACGCCAGCCAGACCTGAGTCACAACAATCTCCCCACTGACCAGAGCTGCAGGAGGGCAAAGTGGATATAATCTGAGGCTTAAATAAATCACTCATTTTCTCTCTAGTTTCGAGCAACTCGTTTCCCAGCTCCACAACCTGGCACGAGAACACGCGCCTGGAGACCACCCAGGCACAGCTTTCAGGCACCTCTGTTGAAAACATGGGATGGATAAAGCTAGCATAGATGGCTGCAGACATCTGGACTATGATCCAGCTCGGCAGCTGGAGCAAAGCACCCTCCTACCACACGGGTGGGTCCTGCTGGTGCTCCTGAGTGAGCAGCTGTCCAGGGCATTTCTTGGAGCTGGAAGAAGAACATGCACAAATAGCTGGTTTGGGTAGTTCTCGCCCTGATTGGCACAAACCTCACTAGGAAGCATTTCTTAATTTTTCAGCTACATTTGTGTTGCTCCGTAACTCTCTTTCCCCCCTCTGTGATTCATTACAACCATGCCAGCCTGTCCCAAGCTGCCTGTCTAGATGCTGAAAAGTAATTTTAAAAGTACTGCCTGCAGACATTTTAAACCAATAATGAGCGTGTGGGTGTCCTGGGAAACTAAGAATTAGGCAAGCCACAAGAGAAACAAAGATATCAGAGGTATGAAGCTTTCTGGCAGCACTCCTCAGTGCAGGGCCATGCTGCACAGAGGACTTCCCAGGATTTTGCCCAGGTTCATTTACCATCTGTTCACTGGCTGCAGGCAGACTTCCGCTGAGACAATATATATCTGAAGTAAGTGGAGAAATACATCAGTGAGGCTTGTAGGGCCATCATAACTCCCTCATCCCCAGTCCAGCAGGTCTTGTGCTGTAGAGGAGGGAAATCTCATGGGCGAAGGGTACCCAGCCTGGGAAAGGGGGTGACAAATCCTGCGGAGGAATCTTCCCCAGAAGACAGTGAGCCAGAGCATGGCTCCCACACAGAAACAGGCAGGCTGTAGTGCTGAGGGGTTTTGTAACTCTGGATCCTAAAATGTGCAAAGCTTGGTACAGCCATATGGATGCAGCACAGTCTCAGAAAGAGTGCGACAAGGAAGTTGTGATCCTGAATGCAACGGAAGATGGATGACCCAAAGGTGTCCCCAGATGTGCACCGTCACAGGGGAGGTAAGAGATCAGAGTCCCCAGAGCAATTTTCCAAAATGCTTTCAACACTGTGCATATAGGCAAAGAGAACCTGTCTGGGAGGAGTGCTGGGACAGAGAGGTCGAATTTATTAGTAGCTGAAGGAACTGTGAGTCAATGTGAAGTGCACAAGCACAGAAATCCCCACTGGCCCCAGGCAGAGCTGGGACATTGGCACGTGCAATCCTAACAGTGGTGGATGGGGATGGTTTGGAACTCAGGCCTGAAGGCTATTCAACAGATGCAGAGGAGCACACAGCTCCCACCTTAGGCCCTCAAGATGGGGATCCTTTGAAGTCCTGAAAATTCAAAAGTCTAAAAAAAAAAGGGACTAGGACTGAAGTTGCTAGCATTACCACCAGGAACAAGGTAAAGAGGAGAAATATATTGCAAGAGCTTTATTATCCACAAAGCAGCAAAGCTAGTGACCTGAATATGTCATGTTCAGGAAACCAGAGAAACTATACAGGCAGAAACAGTGGGAAATACCCACTGAGTTTGTTAAAAGGATGTTAAAAGGAGCAGGCAAAAGGGTGAAATGTAGTAGGGAGGGCATTTACAGACACCATGGTGAAATTTTGGAATAAGTATAATCAACCACAGCCAGTTACTGAGAGGGTTAAAAGAGCCATCGGGGCACCAAACTGAGGAGAGGAGACAGACTATTGGATGCCGTTCAGTAGGTGAAAGTCACCTTCAAAGAACAAGAAAATAGAAAAGCATTACGAATTTCAGCAAATGGAATGTAAAACCACAAAAGGCAGGATAAAAGTGATTTTACCGAGCAATTTGAGAAAGACATAAATTAATATTAAAACCTGGTTCACAGGCATCAGAAGTGGAAAGGCTGCCAGAGCATCTGTAGGATATGTAGAATATGCACCAGGGATGCTGAGGGCAGGGAGGGCAGAGGGAGGGGCATTGCATGGACTCATTGCGGTGCAGGCGGCGGGGAGCCTGCTGTGCCGAGGCTGCCTTGCAGTGGGTGCAGCGGTGCAGAGGGTTTCCACCTCTGAGCCCTTGTGGGGTTGGTGGCAAGAATTAAAATTGAGAAGGAGCCCTTGCCAAACTCCACCAGGACATTCCTGATCTGCTGACAGTGGGTTGCGACCCGTTACTTGCCTACCAAGGGCATGGAGGTGGCAGTGTCCGGTGTCCGGTTTTGAAAGGCTGCCTGAGGATCTCCAGAGTTAGAGGTCTGATTGCTGCAGCTAGCAAAGTGGTAGAAAATGTGATAAACATGGAATTTGTGGGAACCCATGGATAAGGACAATAACTTGAAAAAGAGTCAGTATAGCTTTTTAGAGGAAAATTGTGGCTCAGAAATCTGTTACAGTTGTTGGAAGGAGAGGCAGTGTGTGTGGAAAACAGTGGTCTGATCAATATAATGTAATCCAAAAGAAGCTTTTCAGATCTATCATAGACTTTTCAAAGAGCTTGCAAAGCTGGGAAGCAAAAGGTAAGGCTAATTGGCACATTTTCACAATTGCCTATTGGGTGCTGCAAGTATCTGTACTGGGGCTGGATTTTTCAGCATATTCCTAAGTGATGGAGAAAAGGCAGTACCTAGCATGATGACAACATTCCTTGGTAGACAAAATAGTTCAGAACAGCCATATCTAAAGGTGGCTGGAGAAAGGTGCAGAAGGATTTCAGGCTGCAGAGTGAGTGGGTGATAAAATGGCAAATGGAATTCAGTGTTGCTAAGGATATCAAGTGAAGCACATCCCCAACTGTACGAAGCAGTGGACCCTAAATGAGCTATTACTGTTCAAGAGGCAGATCCGAGGGTAATTGTAGGCAATTCTCTGAAAACATCAGCTGAAGCCTCAGGGGCAATTAAAAGGCTTTAGAAATGGCAAGGAAAGGAATGGGCTTTCAGCAGAAAACATCACTTGCCACTGTACAAACCAGAGGGTGCTCATAGCTGTGTGCAGTTTTTGTGCCTGGCTCAGAAAAGATGTCGAAGAACTGGAAAAGGTCACAGAGATGAGGAAAAGCAGTGATCAGAAGTGGGAATGGCATCCCTGCAAGAAAAGGCTGAATAGAACAGGACTGCCTGTGTTAGGAAAAAGATGAACAAAGATGTCAGTGTCAGATGATGTGCAGCAGGAACTGAGAGTGGTTAGAGAACGGTTATTTAGCACTTTTCACAACACAGCTCGGGACAGCAGACAAATGAATGGCTGGCAAGGTCACCTCAGGGTGTCGTGAATCCAGAAGCCTAAATGGGCTCAACAAGGAGTTAAGACAATCTGATGGAGGACTGCAACTATTAAAAATGACAGTCCATATACTGTGCATGTACAAAAAAAGCTCACTCATGGGAACTCAGGAGGCAGGTACAAGCTCTCAGCCTCATGTTGCACAGACAGAATTGGTGACCACAGGATGAGACCTTCCAAGCCCTCAGGGTGAGAGGCATCTCCAGCTTGTCATAACGATCTGCACTGACCATGGAGATCTGTTCCACAGGCCCATGCAAGAGTCTGCAAGGAAAGGCCTTTCTTGTTTGGCTGCAGATGCATAAACGGGCTGCAAAAAGAGCAAACTGTATCTTCCTATCATTCCCTTTCCCTGTAGAAGATATGCAACCTGTCCTCTGCCTCAAAGAATGGTGCTGTGAAGGTTGTGGTCCTTCGGAGCCTCTCCCACCCTTCGCTGCCTCACTGGGGAGAGGTGGATCCCTGGGACAAGCGGCAAGGCACTCCTCCATCTCCTGCTTTGACTGCTGTAGTGCTGCCTTGAACCGCCAGCAACTCGCTGCCCCCTCTCCACTCCCCATATAGTAGCAGATCTGTATTCCTGAAGCCATCACCCCTGCTCATGCAAGCTCACCACATTTCCTAGATGATTCCAACACCCACATTTTCCATCAGGAAGCGGATGAAATTCCTGTAGGTAGGCTCTATCCCAAA